AGAGATCCGTCCCCTCTCCCTAAACATTCTCCTGTCTTTTCCGTCGATATATAAATTAATGCGTATGTGTAACGTTGTCTTTGGGTCCAACGCTCTTTTACCCTTCCTTCCGTTTTCTTCATCTCCGTGTTGTTCGAAACGTTCCCGTCGATCGTACATCACACGTACATCTTTTCAGAAAGAAAATGTTAAGAAAATAAAATATATACCAAAAGAGTCGAAGGACCCAGAATAAGATTGTTTGGTAATTAGATCTTCAGATTGTCAAAGTCGGCGAGGGTGCTGCTGATCCTGTTGAAGACGGGCAATCTCGATTCGGCATTCGGTGACAGTGGAGATGGTGTCCTCGGTGTAAGTTCGTCCGAGCCCAACGGACTGCAAACGCTGTTGGTCCGAGGGCTGGGACTTCGTCTAGTGGCGAGAATGCCAAAATCCTGGCCGAAACTGAACGGCGAGGTGACGGACGGTTGTTGGCTACTACAGTCATCGCTGAAGAAACTCGCCATCGAATTTGTCGGCGACTGACTGAGGCTGGATGACGGAGAGATGGAGTCACCAGTGCTGCCAAGAGAGAATGTCGGCTTTGGCCTGGTAGCGCCGATCACCGAGCTGACGGTCGTCGTCGAGCCAGTCTGATGGTGATGATGATGGTGATGATGATGATGGTGGTGTTGGCTAGTTGTTAAACTCAACGAGTTCGTTCTGAGCAATGGCGGCGGATTGTACGCGTTGGTGGTGCTGCTACACAGGCTCAACGAGTTGGTTCTCAGAAGATTAGGGCTCGCTACCTGAGACGAAGCGGCGATCTGTTCGAGCAGAGCAACGCTGCTGATCGTCGTCGGATTGACGTTCGAGCCATTATTACACGTATTTCCGCCGGCGGCTGCGGCCGCGGCCGCTGCTGCTGCCGCGCTCAGTATAGGATTCAAACCCATTACGTTCGGTTGCGCGGATCCTAGTTGCGCGCTCACTTTTTGATTGTGAATTCGAGCCTCCTCGAAGTTATGGATAAAATGGCAACGAGGCCCGTACGGGCAGAAACCGATCGTGTGGAATGTGCGGCATAGTTCCGTCTTGTATTTCGGATGCCGGGCGAGATTCCGTAGTTCGCTGTACCCGTGAGCGAATTGACACTTGTCGCCATATTTGCAGGTGCCGCTTTCCTCGAATGGCCTGCACAGCTCTGTTTTGTAACGAGACGTTGGCTCGCTCGCGCTGCGATCTAGTTTACGATGCTGCTCGATCAATGTTGTTACCAAGGAAGTATAGCTACGCCGAAGAGGCGCGTGTCCGCCATTATTCCCAGTCGAACCGTTGTTCGAGCTGTTGCTAGTCGTCGACGTCGAGGTTGGCTCCTTCGTCTTTGCTGGCCCATTCTGTAATACACAAGAACACGAGAGTTGAAATTAATTTCGTTGCTTCGATGTTCTTTCTCGAAAGTAAAAGTAAGCAATAGGTCAGAAAAGCATGTCCCTGAAATCATGGTACAATCTACGCGTAAAAGTAAATCCATTTAAAACTTTGTTTTTCAGAAAATTGGCCCAGAAAAGTTCGTGTTGAATATATTTGAATTTGACTAATTTCGAACAGGAGTAAACAATTGTCAGGAGAGATTAAAAATAAGAGGGCTTTGAAGAACTTGCTTGTAAATTTTCAAATTTAACTTTTCCGAAAACGAAATCTTACGAAAAATTTTCTTAGATCTTTCTATCTTCTATTTGTTTCAATCTTCTACCGGTCGTTCGTTCATGCTTATTTAATTCAGAATTAAACCGTATATATGAATATGTGAAAAATAAATCTTTAAATTCGATTTTCTCGAAAACCAAATCGTCTTCTTTGAAAAATGTTTTTTTTTCCAACTTATTTTTTCGCATTAAACAATTAGTCAATTGTGTTACGATTTCAGAAACACCTTGTATAGATAAAATGAAGGAAAAACAAAAGAAACAAGAATTCAATCAAATATAGACTGTTGATTGGCTGAATAGACCAATCGACGAATGAAACCGAAGTTATTGAACGTACAATTTAACCAAGTGAAATCTTTGCATCCAAGCGATAATGACGATTCGTCCAAGTTAAGAGAAACGATTAACAAAACGATTTCCATAATTTTCAAATGATATTTGATTTTCTCACGATAGAACGAAAGATGTGGAAACATGCCTGTGGGAAACAGTTTTGTTAATTCGAGATTATAATTGTTAATATTTAAATGATGACGTTGTTATACAGCGGTGATAATCACGTTATAAACGCGAATCTTTCGAGAAACGGCTGCTCGAATCTACGAATGTATCAATGATCAGGCATCGCCAACAAAGTACATATTATGTGTTTCAAAGAATCGAGAATCAAGTGTTCTGCTCGTGACGAATAATCTCGATATCCACTGTGAAGAGAAGAATACGTCGAATGTAAAGCAAGTTCGACGTTTTACGATTGATGTGGCACTGTTAAACGCGTGTTAAGTGTAAAACGGATTCCTAGTAATTCCAAATACAACAATACGTACCGTTTCGGCCGAAAACGTCTTTGTTGCTGATATTACAACGTTAGAAGCGTTACGCAATGGGATAACGCTTGGATGAGAACCTTCGATCAATAACGATGATTTATTTCTAATGGACTGTAATCAGAAATACAGGAAGCTCGTGCACAATTGCTTTATTCGAATGCTGCTTCGATCATACTAATGAAATACTTGGTCGTACACTAGACTTGTATTTTCACGGGGGAAACTGTTAGCATTAACTTTGTATGCAAAAATAGGAATTACAATTGAGAAACACGTTACGAAACGTGCGACGAAAATAATACTTGGTCTGCGCTGTTTTCAACTTCTTGTCGACGGGACGGTAAATTGATGTGAACGTTTACCAATAAATAAATATGTAACAGTATTCGACATTAAACACATCGATTAGAACGAGTAGACAGAGCTCGAAAAATTTTACAAAATTATTTTTCATCGCATGTGCCTGCCTTCCTATATACGGATTTAATATAGCGCAACATATAAGAAAATACCAGTGTGATGAAATATAATGAACCTAAGTGGAGTTCACGTGCTTCTGCCTGATCTTTTAAGGCTCCGTTGACTCTATCATGTTTTTTTTGATTCATCTTTTGTTGTTTGCAATTTTTTGCTTGATGACTATACATAAAGCATTATCGATAATTGCCTCGAAATCGAGAGAGGATTAATGTTAGGCTTGAAAATATCGGACGGCAGACTCAGGTATACGAAAAGAAGCGAAAGGTTCAACGTTTCAGTGGATAGAAGGAAGGCAAAAATTCGTGGAACGAGAAACTACCTGAAACGAGCAACCTTTCGAAATAATCGGATCTCATGAGACCTCGAACAGGCCAAGAAATCTAGCGAGAGGAAACTTTCGAGAGCTGAAACCTCTCTAAATCACAAAACGAACCTTCCAACAATCCTTATTTGGCATCGTTTTTTCTTCTTCTTCTTCTTCTTAAACTGTCCAGGAAAAATACTTATTTAAAACTTTTTTGTCGATGATTCGTTGATCAAAATTGAAAAAAAGTTGTGAATAAAATTGATTTTGACGTTTATTAGAATAATTCAGAGAACGGTTAAATTGCCAAGTTGAAGTGAAAGTATCATTATATCGAGGATGTCGAGTTATCAATCAATATAATCGATCGAAATATTCTCGGCTTATATGAAGAAGACTAAAAACCGTAAACAACCACGCACTCACTAAATGGTTCATTATAGTAATTAATCTTGTCTTTAATCACGCGCATGTTTGTATTTCACAATAATCATTGCTGCAATTTTGCATAAACGATACCTTTGGAATTAACTGCATATTTCATTAAAAAACTTGTTGATCTGCTTTAATAACGCTAATCATACCAATAAATCTTAGATGAAATAAAAACAAGAATCTATAGAATGATATTCGTCGAATCAATTTACGATCTAGCAAAAGTCTTCTTATTCGATCGAAAAGATTTATCGAATTACACTCGTAATCCAAAATTGTACGATAATTGACGCTGAACAGTGATAAAAGTTTTAATTTCGTTGTTGAATACTTATTTATTATGGAAATATACTTTAAAAAAAAAAAAGAAACAAGGAATCTAAAAATAATTATTTTTTATTATTATATCATGTATAATTATTATAATTGTCTAAAATTACTCAACTCTAATTTCCTGATTGCAAACTATAATTAAACACTTAATGAAACTATGAATTAATCGCTGTTACCATACATTGTAGTTTCAAAGTGAATGATTGGTCATCGACGAATAAGAAACTGAAAATACCAATATATAACTTTTAGAATTATTTGTATCAATATTACGAATTCAAT